GCTCACTTACCAGCAGGAAGGCACTCCAAATCAATCCAGAATGATGTAGATGTTAATAAAAAAAAACTGAGTAAATTAAAATGGTGAAATTAGTCCCAAGGAAATATTTTTCAAAGAAACCTTGATAATGACGAGGAGCCACCATATTTCCTACACGAGCCGATCTCCAACCTCCATGCCCCTCCCCTCCAGGAAATCTAGGAAGGAATAGTCGCTACTTCTCTAGCCAAAGTATTTCCTGCAGCTCTATGGTACTGGGTCATATTTTCTTATAAAGGAAGTAAAAGCTTTCAACATGAAGCCAGAAAATTGGGACTTTATAACGCTGCGGGACACGGGACAAATTGTTAGAAATCATGACTGTCCCACCAAAATTGGGACGTCTGGTCACCTTAACTTAGCAACCATTTTGCTTAATGACAAAACTGCAAGGCCCAATTGGTTGCTAATGGAGGACTACTATATTGCAGATAAATAATGAACGGAATGCCACAAGGAACAATCTTAGCTCCTCTATTCTCCAGTATGTTTGTTCATGATTTGATGAAGAGATTAAATGGGTGCTTCCAATATCAGCAAATGACAAAATTAGAAAGTTTGGACTTTAATTTGTGTTTTCGGGCATTGGTTACAAGACAAGAAGACATATTTAAAACATTCTTATTGCATATCAGGTGAAAAGTTGGAGATATGAGCCCTCTTCTTCCAGAGGCTTTCTGGGTATGCATACTGTAACTCTGTCACCTGCCTTGGTGTGGAATTTTGTAATTCTTGCTGCCTCCAGCTGTTTTCTAGGCACTGTCTCATTTGGGTCCCCCTTTCTAACTCTCTCAGCAAGACAGAGGATTCCCACACTATGCGTTAATTTCTACTAATTTAAAAGGAAAAAGGAAAATAATATTAAATGCTATATTCACTTCTTGAAGCATGTATCCAGAGAAATCAATCTTTTATCCCCCTCCTACTTTTGAGACCAATCTATACTAAGCTAATGAGATAAATGAAATTAAACTTTATTCAAATGAGGAAAAGATAAACATTCCATTTTCACTTTGAGTGATGCATTACAAAACGATCAGTTGTGAAGGAAATAAAAATAGCAGTTATAATGATAAGAAGTATATTAGAGGAATTTATTTAGAAGTACCTCTATTGCAAAGAGATTCCAAGTTGCTGAATTGTTAAGATTGCACTGGAGCAAAAATACCAGAGATAGCAAATTAGACTAAAAACTTGTAGCCGAAGTAAAAATAATAATATTCAATTTTTCCAGTTAGATCCATTATTTCCTAAAATGATCAGATCTCTAAAGCTATAATGCTTGGAATTTTTCATTCTTTTTCAGACATTCAGAAATACTGTTGTGTAGCCATGGTAATCAGCTGCTTGGATTCCCATCTGTCGAAGAACTACCTGAAATGCTCAAAAAAATAAAAGTTATTTTAACTGGAGAGGGACAAGTTTTTTTTTTACATAAGCACTTCTCCCTCACTGATAGTAGGAAAATCTGCAGTCTGTCCAGCATGTAGTTAACGTAATAATTTCAATATAGTTATAGAGATGGAACAATGGGAATTCCAATGGAAAAAAATTATTAAATTTGCTTCAAATATTATATTGTGAGAATCAGTATGAGATGTTTTATTATATTTCATCATTATTGCAGTTACAATTGCCAAAATGAGCAACTTTTCCATAAAGCTGGGAATGCAAAGAACAGATTAGATCCTTTTCTATGTGTAGCAATGTTGCCCAACAATGTTGCCCAACAATGCCCAATAATAATGGAAAATAATCATTTTTGAAAGCCATAATTCCTTCCTGAAATTTTTAAATTAAATTTTACTAATCCATGTAAATCTTAAATTATACTGAAGTGTCACTGATATATTGAAACAGCTACAACAATTTTATTTGCTTTCTATTGGAAAAGATCTTAGATCCTCTCTAAGAAACAATTATTTATTAAATTGCAGAAATATAATTCAATGTCAGAATAACTTTATTTTAAAATCTAATGTACAATTAAAACATTTAGAAACATTTTGACTATAATTCTACACATGGAATTGTGCCACATCTGAAATTTGAGTTTATATTTAAATTTGACATATATGTATATTCTTAATGCATTGTTCATTATCCATAATTTGTCTTTTTTATTCTTACTGATTTTAATTATGTTATCAAATGTTTTAAAAGTTCAACAGATACAGTATGTTTTCAAGAAATCAGATATGAAATATTTCATAAAAATGAATGGTGTATTTTAATACATTTATGATATTTTAGACTTATGACTTGGCTGTACACTTCTATTTTAATTGATTAAACTATTTGTGATTGTTCTTATAATAATTATTATAATTTCTATTTTTCTATAATCTTTTAAGCATGAATTACTTTTCTCTAAAACTGTAACATGTATCTTTTCCAAACAATGAAATGGGGAAAAGTAGTAAGTCTCCCAAATAGGATAAAGCATAAAGGTTTCAGTTGATGAAAGTATGTGTGCTTCAAGCAGAATATCCTAAAATAGATTGTTATGAAAACAGATTGCTATGAAAAAAACGCCAAGGAAGGTAGGTGAGATTTCTCTCTTCATTGGAAAAAGCTGCCACCAGGGGATGCTATTGTATTATATTTGAAATAAGGCAAGTTAGGCACAGTTTCCAAAGACAAGTTAATAGTATTTCTGCCTTGTTTGTCAGAAGAGGATGCTGTTTTGAATGGATTATGCTTCCATACACTTTTTCTTTAGGATTTCCATACATTATCTTCATATTAGGAATGAACTTTACTGTGGTACAATAAAATCACAGCTAAAGTTACTGTGGATGAAGATCTGAAAAACCATAAAATAGTATTAGTTTGTCATTTTGAGCTATTTATAAAAAATAAAGGCAGGATATAAATAAATAAAAATAAGTAAAAATAATCTATATTATTTCTTTCAAAAGCCATGTATTCTATGCATTAGTGTGCCCAAAACTAAATGAATAATAAACCTGTGGTTATTTGTCCACTTGACTATTACTAACAAAATATCAATTTTGAGAGCATGCTTGTATTTAGAGTTTCAAAATGAAAATGTAATGATCAGGGTCATATTCTGTGGGGAAATGATGGTTTTTTTTTAATTTCAGTAAACCCAAGGCCGGCTTCATATGTGTTTTCATGACATGTTGCTTTATGCAAGGAAATATATCTATGCGAGTCAACTTGCAGTAGCATCCCATTGTTTTAAAAGTCTTGATAAATTTTGAAAAAGATAGATCATAGACCCCAGGATATCTATTTTTTAGTTTAAGCGGGTTTCGAGATGCGATACGAGACTCATGATCTAATAAGATGAGGGATTACTGAAAGGAAAAGTGTTGGTATCAGATCGGGGCAAAAAAGCCCAACAATGATTTTATTAAACGAAACTGTTTAACACTGTTGCACTCCGAGTCAAACTCCAACAGAGGGAATGTAGAGCGGGGTCCTGCCCAGTTTAATATACGCGAAGCGGGGAGGGGCAGCGGCAGTCAGGCAGGCAGGATCAGGTTTCACATCCTGATCCTGTCTGGCTTGGGACCGAGAGCCTTCGCTCACCCTGAGGGGCGCAGGGAGAAAAGTCCGGGAGTGCGGCCTGAGTGGAGAGATGGCGGCGGAAAAGTGAGTGTAGTTTGGGAAGAGAGGCACAAATTTCGGGTCAAGGCACGAGGGGGAGGGGGGCTGTCGGTCAGCCGCTTACCTGTTGAGCTGGGTGGGGCGCAGGGCTGGGCCCCAGGCGCCGCCAAAGTATCTCGAAACGCCGCCGCCATTCCGCGCTCCTTCTTGCAGGCGGCGCGCGGCCGAAGAACCTCGGAGGGGGTGAGGGAAGAGACCGAAACAACTTTGGGCGTTTCGTTTGCAGGACCTAAACTAGCAAAGGGCTCGGAGAGTTTCCCAGGAGTTTTCCGGCTTGGAGCTCAGTCGAGGCTAAAGAGGCAAAAGACAGTACGCGAGATGGCGGTGGAAGAAAAAGTTTACGGTGAAGAAGTGGGTTAGGGGCTTAGCTGTGCGAGCTGAGGTGTTGTTTACTTCACCCTTTGCCTTTGCTAATTGTCTAATGGTTGCGCGTTTGCTTTTGGAGAAAGATACACTTTGGCCGCCTTTAAAATAAGTGGCGCTTGGAGAATATAGCTTTGTGCAACAACAATGTAAGTTTTTCTCTTTGGCCTCAATAAATAAGACTGGATAGATAGATATAGGGATATATCCTTCTTAACCGCTATATATATTATCCTGTTGACATGTGTGAGCTGAACCACATTGTGGTTTGCAATCAGTGGGTTTTGACAAAATCTATTGTGAATTGGGTCAATACAGTTTGTTCAAACCATCTGAACATAGTCATCATAAATAGTATTTCTGCTCCTGGTGACAGAGATAGAATTCTTCCTTCTTCCATATTAAAGAAAGGTTACTTCTTGTCATTGCTAATTAATCCTTTTGGTTGTGAGTTTTATAACTAGAGGATATTGACTATAGTGCAGTATATATTTTTAAATGTCACTTCTATTAATATTTACATACACATTGCTGTGGTTTAGGTATTCAGTAAGAAATACTGTAATGTTCTTTTTGCAGTTCATTTCCAATTTACAGTACATAATAGAAAGAATCTTTTTCTTCATGATTTGTTTTTGATTAATGTCAGGAATAGTTTGTGATTAATAATAATAAAATGGATGGTTATTAGTGACCCTTTCATAGCAGAGAAATTGAATTTTGGCCTACTGCATATTCCATCACCTATCTAAGGGAAAAACCAGAATATTTCTTCGTGCCTTTGATTTGGCTCTCACATTTCAGGAAACATGAAAAATGGGGGGGGGGACCTAACTGGAGGGGTGCAGTATTAACTATTCAGATTAGGAATGGTCAGGTCCTGAGATAATTTCAAGTCCATAAAATGTAAATCACTTTGGGGGCCAAAAAGGACAGATAATTTGAAACTTTTCATATATTGAACTCCTAAATTTGTAAATACATTATTTTGAAACTATATTCTTTATTTTTTCCAAAATATATTTGTGAAACTAGGCAAAACCATAGGATTGCAAGGAACCTTGGAGGTCTTCTAGTCTAACCCCCCTGTGCAAGGCAGGATTCCCTCATAGCATTTTGTGCAAATGGTTGTCCAATTGTTCTTTGAAAAATCTCCCAAGGAGAGGACACGAGCAACTCTGTGGCAAGCTGTTCCACTGTTAGGAAATTCTTCCTCATTTCCGAATTGGATCTCCCTCTGACTAGCTTCTGCCCATTCCTTCTCATCCTACCCCAGGTTCTATGGAGAATAAACCAACCCCCATTTCCCTGTGACAGCCTTCCAAGTCTCCTCTCTGTCTCCACTCACTCTTTTTTTTACTTAAGCTAAGCATACTTAGTTCCTTTATTTAGGCGCTCTTCAAAGGATTTAATCTCCAGATCCAGTATCATCTTTTGTTGCTATTATCTGTTCTCTTTCTAGGGCCTCAAAATCTTATTTGTATTGTGACCAGAATTGGACACAGTATTCCAAATCTAGCCTCACCAGTGCCTTCTAGAGAGTACTATCATTTCTCTTGATCTTGATAGTCTGTTGATGCAGCAGTGTGTTGGCTTTTTTGGCAGCTGCAGAATGCCCCTTCTGGTAGGGCAACCTAATCCCATCAGGATGAGCCATTTTGTCAGATAGCCTGGATCATGCCATGAAGGGCTTTAAAGATGATAACTAACACCTTGAATTGGACCCAGAAGCAAACTGGCTGTCAGTGAGATCACAGAACAGCAATATAACATGAGCCATCCTAGGAACCATAAGAACTGTCTGCACAGCTGCGTTTTGCATCAGCTGAAGCTTCTGAATTCTGTATCCAGAAGTTAAAGTCTGCCCACTTGGGAGCATCAGCAAATTAGGTAATTAGAGCCTATAGTTTAGGAAATGAAACAAATGGTGTATAATGTAAAATATTCTCTAAAGAACCTAAAACAGGAACATCAGAATTACGGACTAAAAATTTGATATATTTCCAGTGTAAAGTAAGGCAATAATACCCAATCAATAAGACTCACAAAATTCAGTGTTATTTGCTTCCAAATAAGTGCATATAAATTTGAGCCTAACTTAACAAAGCAACAGAATGGTTTAAAATTAAGTTCCAATCTGTTTAGTAAGGCATACTTCTTTGGGTTGGTCATTAACTCTTACCCCAATTTACTTTAAGAATCCTTGTTGTAACAGTAAAATTGGAGGACAGAGTATATTATTTTGTGTTCCTAGAGTAGGAAGATATATTTCAATACATTTTATTTTTAATTGTTTAATAAATTTAATTTTTGAGGCCATAGTCATGGACATTTAGGAATATAGATACCTCATATGTCATACCTCAGATATATTACTAAATCCTATCACCATTTATGACTCCCAATCTTGCTAAAATATTTAAAAGAGTTAATTGAGATGTGACCACAAATTTCTTAATACAAATCAATTACTTTATCACCAAATCCTGTCAAAATCTACACCTAAGACTACTTGGAGTCTTAAATGATTCACAATAATTAGAACATTATAGGTAAACTCACCTAACTTCAGGTGGATTAGTAAATAGAGTTTCATAAAGGGAATAAACATATTTAAGTATATACTTTTATATTGCATTTATTTTCAAACAGATGAGTGACAGTTTATTTATCCTGCAAAGTGATCTCTAGATTAGAGAGCCAGTTTGCATAGAGTAGCCATGAAAATGCTTGCTAGAGGGATTCGTTGTGTTTGTGGATTCTGGCCAGGGTCACCTAATGGTGTATTCCTCCCTGCACACAATGTTATAACCTACTGCTAAGTACAGCACTAATGTCCTTAGCTGTAACAGAGAATACCAAATTTGGCATTGCACAGCTAAGGCTGGAAATCTTATCTAACCTGTCCATCTTAACTCAAAAGGTTTTTGTGGAAATGATTGATTCAACAAATCATGAGCAGCAGAGCTCAGTACTTATGAATCCATGCCTTATGGAAGATTGTGAACTGGGTTATGAGTATTATAAATGGTAAAGTATAAAACCTAAGAAAAATGAGACATTATTGATGCAGATAATTTAGAAAGCCAAAGAATGCCGAAAATAAGTGAGTATTTGCTTAATTGGTTATATAAAGGCATTTAGTTGTGGAAAGTTCTCAGAAAAATAAAAAATCCAGAATATCTCATTGTCTTCATGACAAACTTCTAAACAGATCAGGCAGTCATAGAATAGACAGAACATGGTGAAAAGGAATGGTTTCAGATTGGCAAAGCTGTGGTGCATACTTTTATCCTATTTATGCCTTTTTAATGATGGTTGTAATGTTAAGTGTCCATTTCAAGTCCTTCGAGCTAATAGAACCTGGAAGGTCTCTACTGTTGATATTGTGTTGCCTAATATTGTAAGCAGTGATTAGGAGAGTGTCTTCTAAAATCTACTATCATCTCTACAGTTTTAAGAGTGTTCAGCTCCAGATTGTTCCGGTTGCACCACAGAGCCAGTTTTTCTACTCCCCTCTGTATGCAGACTCATCATCATCTTGAATGAGACCAATGACTCTTGTGTCATCTGCAAACTTCAGTACTTTAACAGAGGGATACTTCAAGATGAGTCATTGGTCTAGAGAGAAAATAGTAATGGAGAGAGCACACTGCTAATTGAATAGTATTCGATGTGATTTCCCTAGCTTCATCTGCTGTTTTCAGGCAGAGTTAGGTGAGTCAGTTTAGAGGAGGGTGTTGAATGCCCAGCTGAAGTCTACAAAAAGGGCCCTTACATAGTTGTTTGGGGATTCAAGATGTTATAAGATGTAGTGCGGTACCATATGGTACCATCATCTGCCGATCTATTTGCACAATAGGCAAATTGAAAATGTCTAGCAGCAGTTCTGTGATAGTTTTCAAGTGGGCCAATACTGAACTTTAGAGGGTTTTTAATAATTATGGATGCTAGAGCCACCTGTTTGTAGTCATCCAACTCTTTGATGGAGGTCTTCTTGGGCACCGGGATGATAGTAGAGCATTTGAAGCAAGAAGGAACACAACACATTTCCAGTGATTTATTAAAGTTGGGGGTGAAGATGAAGTCCAGTTGATCAGCACAAATTTTCAAGCAAGAGGGAGTTACCCTGCCTGTCTTGCTGCTTTTCTACCTTTTTGTCTGTGAAATAGACCTCACACATCTTTTTCTGTGATCACTAGAGGTGGAGGGTCCAGAGGGATGGTGTCGGGTGTAGGAAGCTTAGCTGTTGTTGATGTAGCTGTTATATTCTAGTATAGTGATAAACGAAAAATTTGAAATACATTTTGGGGGGAAATTGTCCAACATTCTGAAAGAATGATACCCAGGGAGAAAAATTACTCTGCTAGTTGCCATGAATGAATGGGACAAATGAAAAAGTTCAGAAAAAGTGAATGAGACACTTGCAGACCAAAGCATGAATGAGAATGTTAAACGTTTTGTGAATTTTGTCCTTATAAAAATAGTTGTCTGTAATGTAAAAGTACTAATATATGGTAATTATAAATGAACAAGTATAAACAATATTTTAAGATTTTAATCTATTTCCTCCACAGAAATGTCATGTCCTTTATATTAATTAGAATAATTCTGATAAAATT